ACTTAAAGCCGATCCCTGATGTACCAACAGAAATAGGAAAATATTTGGTCAATCCTCCTTCAATTTGAACACAAGTAACAACTCTAGTGTACATATCTTTAATGGCTTGAATATAAGTCATATCAACACCTTTCTTTTTAAGAACTCTCCAAAGGATATCTCTTGGAACCTTATCGTAAGCTTTTTCTAAATCCATAAAAATCAAATGTAGATTCTCCTTATTATCTCTGAACTTCTCCATCAAACCTCTTAATAAATATATAGCTTCCATAGTAGACCTACCTTACATGAATCCAAATTGATTATGAGAAATCTTTGTAATGCGTCTTAAACTATGTTCAATTACCTTCTCCCATAATTTTAAAGTATGACACATGAACTTAATTCCTCGATAATTTGCACACTCTTGTGCATCCCCTTTACTCTTAAAAATGGGAACCAAAATACTCTTCCTCCACTCCTCAGACATCTTTTTAGTTTTTAAAATAAGATTAAAGAGTTTAGTAAGCCAAGAAACTCCCAAATCTCCTAAATATTTCCACACTTCAATTGGGATATCATCAGGTCCTACAGACTTTTCACCCTTGGTTTTTTTTAAAGTTTTCTCAACTTCCTTTTTACTAATGAGATGGTAAAAATGAAACATTTTATTATTATTCACGATATTAAAATCACTAAGTTCGATCGTATTTTCAGAAACATCATTAAAAAGTTTATCAAAATAACTCACCCACACCTATGTTGAATATATTTTTTTAAGAAAAACACTTTTTGATTTTCATCTTTAATACACTTTACTTGAGTTAAATCTTTAATTTTCTTTTCTCTTTGTTTGGCTAGTTTATACATATATTTTCACCATCCTTAGTATCTAATCTATTATAAAGATCATTAAAAGCAAAATTTTTAGCGTCACAGGTTGTTCTTCTAGATTCCCTGCGCGTCATTTGGTATTTTTCCCAGTTCTTTAAGCTTTTACATTTAAACCAATTTTTATAATATAACTTTTTATATTTTATCTTTTCATGAACATTATTATTCCACCACCAACTATTATTACAACATTTTCTTTATTTATAGGATTTATAAAAATTTTTTTCTTTTGATTTTCCCAGCACATCTTTTGCTACTTGCTTAATAATGTTTATTACTTTTTCCCACATAGCATTTGATTCTTCATGAACATCCTAAATTTTGAAATCTTGAATTTTACTCATAAAAATAGTTTTATTTGTGTCTTTTAGGTACTCCGATCTAATTCTACGATGACGAGTCCTAGTATTCTTTATTTGACAACTTTTATCTTAAAATCTAGAACTAATAAACGATGTTGTGTACTTAAATTCTCACTTGGAATGACCTTACAATCTTTACAATCTCGACGATTTCTTCTTCTCATAAGAAATTAATCAATTTGTGTTTTATTAGGTTCACTCTTATAAGTAATAAAATGCTCATTTCTTTTCTTGAATAAAGTATTAGTAATAACAAAATCATACGTTAAAGAGAAATCTAAGCTCAACCTTCTTTAGTTACTCCAAAATCATAGCCACCATGAGTATATCTGAAGTCTTCTACCACTCTACCGACATGTCCATTTAAATCTCCACCAATAAAAATTCTTCTTTCAAGAGGTATTATTTGTATTAAGTCTTCTAAGTCATTCCAAAATTTATCTTTAGACCCTGTATCTAAACCTACTTGAGGAGCATAAACACTTATAATATTAAAAATCTTAGTATCAATGATAATCTTAAGGGCTATAATTCTATCACCAACTCTATTAATTTTTATAACATTATCTTTCTAACTCTTATCAATAATTACACCTACACAATTTCTAGTGCGACTCTTACTAGAATGCCATTCTTTAAAATCTATATTATCAATCTCCTTAGCCTTTTTTCCAACCCATTTAGTTTCTTGAATACATAATATATTAATTTCTTTATGAATCATAATATCAACTAATTCCATTAATTTACCATTGAGAGTACCTATATTCCAACATCCAATCCTAGTATTAGTTTCATTAGTTTCACGAACTAACTTCTTTACCCGCATTCGTTCGTAATGTGGGAACCCTTGCTTATTTGACATTAAATCCGGACGCTGGTGTAGCGGCCCTTGCACACCTTTCACTGTATTCAAGCTATACAGCGCATCGCTTCCAGGGGACGCCTAGCACTTACACAATGAAATTGATTTTTAGCTTTGTTTTGGTAAATTTACACTAGTTGGTAGTTGAACTTTTCTTCCGAGAGGCTTATTCTTAGCAACACTATTTGCAATCCGACTGCATAAGGTCACTGTTAGGCAAGATATTCTGGGGGACGGTAAAAGGAATGTAATTCAGAAATTTAAAATTAATCATCTAAATATTGTAATCTGATAGGTTCAGAAATAAAAGGTTTGTTATCTAGTGAACTAATGCCTGTATATGAGTGGTTTGGAATAAAGATTGATCTAAAAGGTAAGTTGAAACATCACAAATAAGAATAATTGATAGTTTTGCAGCAAAATTAGTATTATTAATTAATGTGATTATAAGAAATGTTTTTTATGCCTTGAATATTGTAGAAATTATATTTCATCAATGTTTGCTTCTAGGTGATGAGAAAGCACTACAAAGGAGATGCGATAGAATTGGCGCCAAAATGGCTAATGATTTTTGTGGATGTTGGCGCACAGAAGATTGTATTATTAGAGGATGGTCTAACTGATGTCTAAAGCTGGTGTTAAAGGTCCAAGTAAAACATAAAGTTAATCTCTTTTAGTTTGTTATAAGATTTACTGCTTGGTGATGATTTTGACTTTCAACTATCATACACATTTGGCTATTCTGCTGTGTCTTGTACATGTGTCACACCCAACCTTACCCTCCCTTAGAGTTAATTGTGGTGTGATAGAGGTGGACGACTTAGTCAGGACACAATCCCCACCACACTAGCTCAGTGTTGCAAAATCAAGACTTTATAAGTAACGAATTAGCTGAATTCAATGACCACAAAAATTCATAATTCAATACAATTCATAGTTTATTAACATCCTCAATTACTTAGAAGCGTGCATAATAATATTGCTAAATATATACAAAACTAATAAAAATTCAACATACAAAAATACGTACTGAAAAATATGTACAACTTCCAAAATTATACAATCCAAAAATTGCACAAAATTACACCCAACTAATCACACGTGTACCACTTATCCCTTCATGAAATCAAGAACGTATATCAGTGAGCTACAAGTTCAGCGAAATAATCAAAGTTAAAGTAAGATTTTTTAGTATGTTCAATTGTGGCTCATATTCATGTTAGCAACAAGTAATATAAATATGTTTTTAATCATGTAAGATATTTAAGGTAAAAGGGGCATGACATGCAATAAACAAATAAAAACAACAATAAACATATATTTCATTCATTCCTATGCAATAATAAAATATCCATAATAATTCCATAATCAATAACTGAGGCCTTATGAATGTCACTTATAATTGTATAGACCTTAACTACATTTATTTCATTTCATGGCATTGGATTGCCACCCAGCCCATCGGCTAAAAAAACTATTGACAAAAGTTGGGCCCCTCCAAACATAGCAGTTATCAATAGCCTCCCTAATACCAACAGTTTAGTCTCAACTTAAATATCAGGAGTAAAACATCTCATCGTTCCACGTCTTTCGTAGCTGCAGCTCATTCATGTAATAGTCTACCAATCATAATAGTTGTGACATTCTTTTAAACATA